AAATCTTAATTATATTGCTAAAGAAACATCACTTAAAATAGACATACAAATGCTGTTTTGATCATTGTAAACTGCTATTTGTGGTGCAGTATTTTAGTTATGAGATGTGGAAAAATTTGTGTGCTCTTGCAGGTGTGTACTCAAAATGCTATTTCAGGGCAAGTAGTGCTATAGTAGTGCTTGAGAGATATTGATTGATTTATTACTACAGGCATAGTGAGTGAAAATCCATACAGCTGCTTCCCTGTACTCTGTGGTAGTTTCAGAGTTTTTAGAATATAATTGACTGAAAGAAGTAAGATCCGGAGGTACTGAGCAAACCAGTGTTCAAAGCTATGCAACACCCTCTGCCTTCATACCAAATAACCTTGGTCTTTAAAAGACTATACCTGCTCAGTTCCATGTGCTTTTTATTCTCCCAGCATATTTCAGTGCTGGGTTCTTGCAAGGTTGTGTTTCTGTAGGCTGCATTTAATTTCAGCTGATTGCCCAATCCTCTCTTCATTCTATTGTAGTTGGTTTTTGAATTGTCTCAAATTCTACAATGGATTTATGACAATCTGAAAATTATCAGTGGCCCCTTAATTGCACAGGGCTATGTGATTCACAAAGTTCTTACTGGACCGGTACTTCTTTTCCCCTTACTTCCAGCCAGGCAATCTTCTGTGCTTTTTAAACCAGTGCAGAGGCAGTAAAATGTCTATACATTGAAACTTTCTCCTGGCATTCCATCACTTGGAAAGCAATCTGAGGCTTTTCCATAGGCTGATGTATTGACAGTAACTTAAAAAAACCCCAAAATATAGAAACATGATTTTTGATTATGCTATAAATTGGGATTATTTCCTTCAGGCAGGCGGAAGGACATGCCAGATGGACTTTATATGTTGGCTGTTAGAAAGCTTTAGGAGCCAAAATTATAATTAGCTCACTCCTATTGAAATATGTTCTTCCTAGCTGCATTACTTTTTTGCCAGAGCCTGATACAATTCTTGAAAGATGCAGTTCCCCTCAGCACAGGAAACGTGCATCATTCTGTTGGCATTAACCAGCCACCTGTACAGTGGCTGTTGCAGTGCTTGCATGAGGAGGCAGTGCATCTGCTCCCCGGCACATTTTGGGTGTGTGCCTGTGCTGCAGGGACTGGTGCAGAGGGGATGCACTGCCTGGGACTGCTCAGTTCAGTAACTGCAGGGATCTACACTCCAGCCACATGGGGTATGAATTGCTCAGAATTACAGGAAATTCTTCCAACCGCCAAATTTGAAGAAAAGCAGGACTAGTTCATCAGCAAACCATCAGTGCAAGAAAGTGGCTTGTATTTCAGCAGTACATAGTTTTGTGTGTTGTAAAGAAGTGCTTAAGACGTCCCACTGAGATCCAGGTGCCACCTATACAAAATGACTCTGTAACGAAGTGGTGGGAGTGGAGGACTTGTAGGCACAGCTGAAAGAAAAGTTCCTTTATCAAGGAACTTTGACAGCAAACATGGACTACAGCACAGGATGCAAAAATCTGCCAGACATTAGGGGTGCTTACTGGGTCAACTGAGGCCTCACTAGGACAATTGAGCAGGCCAGTGAGAGTAAAGCTAGTCTGGGAATGTTTTCACTCACCCCCTTCTGTCACTCTTGGACTTTAGCATAGATGTATCCACTGTGAGACCTGGTCCATACCTTCTGTAGCTCACCAGAGTTGAGAATGTAAATGAGGGACACAGTAGCAGACAGTGTAGCAAATGAGATCTCATAACAAGTCAGACACAGCACTGCGAACAGAATCCAGATTCTCCCGTTTCACAGTTCAGTGACATCCGATGGTTCATTTTAATTTGAGCTGAAATTGTAACTAATTTTCCCCCCCACTGTTTGTACTGTTTATTTGCAAGATGGTTATTTAATCTTATTAGAGGTGGTAAAATGCTTTCACTGAAAGTTCTGTTTGGTTGATTGCTTTAACTTGCCTGTGTTCCTTCTCTCTGTGTTGTGGATGGTTACCACTTAAGGGGACAGTTTCTGATAATGAACCCATTCTTGAATTCCATGTTGTATATTCATTTGATTACTGTGATGATTACACGGTTGTATATTTTGAATATTTTTGTTTTGTTTTGTTTAAAAGACTCTTTTCCAACTTCCCATTTTACTACTTTCTTCCCAAATGAATATAAAACCTTCTTTAGGAACATTTTTTATTTTGGGTAAAAAACTCAGATACTATAACTTTTTCAGATAAAGTTCTAGCACTGGGGGCAAATGAAGAGGGAGTGTTCCGAGTACAAGATGTTACATCCCTGCGAGAGCCGCACACGGCTGGCAGCTGTGGATTAGCGGCTCTCACGGGATGTGCGGCAGGGGCTGCAGAGGGCCCTCCCGGCGCAGCAGCCGCGCACCCTGCGGCACAGAACAGCCTTTTAAAGGGGACTAAATCCTGTTCTTTTATTCGTTATTTCAATGTAAAACCCTATGCGTGTTCGTGAACTAACTCATGAAATGGACAGCCTCTCTTCAGTTTGGGTTCCCTGACTGGTTTTGAAGCTGATTATTTGAAACACATGGAGAATCTTATTCTTGCAGCTACAAATCAATTTGGGTATTTTGGTAGACAAAAAGAAGAAATTCAAAGCTAGAGTAGAAGAAAGAGCTAAAAATTAATGGACCACTTACTTTGAAGGCAAACTTTTAACCTTACTCTATGAGGCTGATAGCAAGCCAGCAAGCTTTTTCCTGGATATTGGACCTGATGCAAGTTTCTTTTCTTAAAATGCTTTTTGTTTTTCATTTGTTGAAAGATTAGGGGGAAAATTGTGCTTACAATGCTTGAATTGAAAACTTACTAATATTAGTAATATTCAAAGGAGCAGTTTAATGCAGATTTGAGTTCTTAAGTAACAGACATCCTGTATCTTAGTTTTGCTTAGATTTCTGAATTCATCCTAATCTCAGTTACCATCTCTAACTTTGCTTTGCTTCACATAAGAAGAGTGAATACTATAGAGTGTGCTACTACCAGATAATACTGAGTCACTGAACAGAACAAAATGTTTAGAACTAGAACTCTAGAAAGTAAGCATCAAGTTGTATTACTTGAAAATTACTGTAGTTTCCATGGTGAAAAATATAGAAGGATTGTAATACAGTTTGTAACTTCTATAAAATGTTTAATTTTCTGTGTTTTGAAGTCAATGAAATACAAATGAAGGGAATGTGGTAAGAAATATGAATGTGGTAAAAACCTGAAACTTTTGCTGCCTGAAAAAGGGAATACTCAGGCTTCCATGCTTCATGTTCTGGAAAGTACTAGTAGCTGAACTGTAAAATCTTACTTTTCCTGTAAGTTACACAGTGATGTAATTGCAAAGGTAGTATCTTTTCTCTCTCTTTAAAACTGGATTTGTATTATGAAAGCAATTGCTTTCCATACTTTTTATTGACTTATATCTTCATAACTTAGGTAACTTTTTTTTGGGAACTAGCTTTTCATTAAAATACACCATGCCACAGAAGTTCTCTTGGTTGTTCATATTTTGATAGGACTGCATATTGCCGAAGTAATTCTGATTATGCTTTTAAAAATCTCCAATAAGCAGAATGTGGTGGTAGCAAATACCTGTTTTGTGCTTTTCTGGATGGGTGAGGAAGGAGGAAATACAAATGTTTGAGAAAAGGGAGACAAGTTTGTATGTGCTTCAGACCTCATTCTAGCACCTTTGTTTAGTATAATAGTACTGATAAGCACTGTTTTGCGATGTCCTTATTGATTTGCTACAGAACAGCAAATGTAAACAAAGGTCAGTAATCCCACCAATTTAAGTGCAATGCTGGGCTTTGTTTGATTCCTACCTCTGGCTTTTATGTAGGTAAGCCAAGATGTACAAGGGAAATACATGTTTCACTAGGGCCATTTGATCTGAAGTGAGTTTGCTTTGAAATTATTTTTATTTTTTTGAATTTGTCTGCTTTACTGTCTTTTCCTGGAGAACCTATAGTCCCAAGGCTGCTTTGCCAGCTGAGGATATCTCTACTGTAGCAGTTAATAAATGTTTTTCAATGCATGGGCTTACTTCTTGACAGTAGACCTATCTTAATGACCTATTGTGGACTCAGGGGCTTCAGGAGCCTCAAAGTAAAAAGCATTGTCCCACTCTGGTATTTTAGCCAGGTCATCTGCAAACTCTGGCTGATGGTGACCATGTCATAGGAGCCAGTAGAATTCTGTTATACTTCCTTCAAATACAGGTTGTTAACCATTAGCAGTTATCTGAAATAGCATTATAGGTACATATACACTGAAAAAGCAGCTAGAAGTTTGTGTGGGAGGAAACCATGTAAGCGTGAAAACTGACAAAGGAATAGTAAAGCTACACACCCATACAGAAGTTCTCTGTATCATTTGATGGCTTTAGAACAGAGAAGGGGCTGTGTGGAATAACAAACTGTTGTTCCTCTGAACTTACCACTGAATAAAGAATCCTCAACACCAAAAAAATGAGACCCATGAATAAATGAATAAGCAATGAGCTGTCAGCTGAAAAGAAGTAATGAAAAACTAGAAAGAGAGAGAAAAGTGAAGAGCGTTAGGTGCCAAAAAACAAGGTGCCAAAAAAATTGGGATCTGTCAGATTGGTACGAGCAATGCTCCCTAGTTCCTCATTAGTTCCATATACAGTGCATGTTGCCAGACTCCTTTGATCCTACATTAATTTACAAAGTATTTCGATAAACACTTTATTCTTTCCCTAAGATGTGCCAGTGGATGCAGGTAAAGGGGGAAGCCATGTCTAGGAGCAGTCATGTAATTAAGGCACAAAATGCAACCAGGGATTCCAAAAGTTTACTGAAATACATTTCTTGTAGAATGCAATGATCAGACCAACAGTCATTATTCCTTCTAAGACTTCTATAGATCACTAAAGAACATAGTTTTCTAAATTCAGCAATTATTTATATGTGATACCGATATTATAGAAATAGTAAATGTACTTCATTGTTTTTGTGCAGTGCAAGTGACATTGAGGAAAACCTGTGCAATTATCCAGCTGCACTTACACTGTTAAGGGAGGTCGTTCTGGATCACAGGTAAGTCAGATAAATATTTTGGCTTTGCACATTTGGGTACAGAGCCTGTGGTCAGCAGTTGGTATTTGGCATGCAACTGCCTACTTTATCCATTTTTATGCACCAACTAATTTCCTTGATGTAGGGATTTGAGGATGGTGAAATAATTTCATAAATTATAAGCAAAAAAATAATCTGTTTCATCTACTTCATTCTGGATAGCCGTTGCATAAAAACTGTCAAAAACATATTGCTCCGGCTTCATCCCAGCTGCAGTCCATTGATTACAGTGGAGTTAAATCAAAGATGAATCTGTCTGCTCAATTTAAATCTAATGATTGGTTAAAAAGTCGGGGGGAGAGCCCTGTCTAAATCCAGGGCTGTTTTATCCTTGTGTCAGCATTTAATTCCATTTGCATATAAGCCTATTTCCCTTCTCTAAATTTAATTTGTTAGAGCTTGGCCCTCAGCAACAACAGCAACAACAAAGTAATTGCATGCACTATTGGGCAATGGTGCCAATACAGCATGTGCTATAAAGATGTCTCACACAAATTTATAAAATGTAGTCATTAGTGACATTCTGCCTGGTAACAGCAATATCTGGATATTTGAAAAAAAAACCCCAACCTTGAGCTACCTCATGGACATGCAACATCTAATAATACACATACAAAGAAGCTTTTTTTATTATCAATTATTAATTGTGTCCTTTTCACCAAAGGAAATGAGATATCCATGTCTTATATAACCAATGGGAACATCCCAGAGTGTCCCTGAGACAAGATGAAACTGGCTGAGGCTCAGTTCTTAGGCTGTGCTAGATGTCATCTGTGAATTTTCACAAGTTACTTTTGCAGGGTGACTTAACAGGCTTGTTTTAAACTGGGGGGAAGTGGTTAGCATTGTCACATGGTGACACCTGCTTTGTTTAGCTGCTACACTCCACTGTGGTACTATTCACTATGTTCTCATATCACCTACCCTAAAATTCTCAGCCCAGTCTTCATTCAGACCTTTCACCTGTACATTTTGCAGTAAAAAGACTTTTATTGTTAAACTTGACCTGATCAACAGTCATTCCAATTCAGTTGTTCTTCCAAAGGTAGTGCTACCTGCTTCAAGTTTATAAGATCCTTTATTCTCATTTTCCCTATCCTGAATTGATTGCACACAAGGTGAAAACATTTGTTAGGATTTAATTTGAGTTTTTCTTTGTGCTTCAAAAACTAGATTTTTCACCATACATTCTGATGCATTAAAACTAATCATGGTCATAAATTCTTACATTTTGTCAATTTTGCACAACTTCACGATCTGTTAAGAGAGGTCACTTCAGATTCACCATTTGTGGAAAGAGGGCACTGATGCCAAGGGGTAAGTACAGTGTCCTGGGGCACTGTGCAATATTGCACAGATAACAGAGCCTGGAAGATAAGCCAGATTTTCTGAATCAGAGCTGCATGGTGTGGGCCTAAGGCCATGCTATACATATAATATAATACAAGCTCACAGAGAGTGGAAAATAAACATCTTTCCATTTTCTGTTCTCTGTGTTTAGATAAATCACATTATTTCCTAACGTATCAGATCTTTTTTGATACCCATTGTTCCTCGTAGGGACAGGAAAGCCCACTGTTACCCTTGTTACTTGCTCCCATTACCTCTTGATGCACTTGCATCCTATCCTCAGGAGGATTAGAGGGCACTCAGGACCTTTCAGGAGGCACTTACCACTTTACAGGATTAGGATAAGCCTGCCTTTGATGTTTTTGTGATCACACCCATCTGTCGTAACTGAACATGGTGAATTAGGCTTTATTTTTATTTAATGTTTTAATTATGTTTTAAAGGTCATATATAAAAATATTTTTTCTAACCTTGTCTGCTTTTCTTTAAAAAATCAGTGGGGATATGTTGTTTTTTTAATACATATGCTGATACTAAAAACTAAAAAAACCTCACAGTTAGAATCAACAAATAAACATGAGGTTTCACCTGATTTTAAGGTTTAACAATTGTACTCCATGTCATACTCCTTCCTCTTCTTCCATCCATATATTCATTACAAATGTCAGATAAGGCTAATCCTTCATGTGACATTACTACAGATGGTTACACAGGAGACTTAAACCAGATGCTGATAGTCTGGATAATCTGGATGAAAGCTGGTAACCTAAACCAAATCCATTTTGTGTATTACTCATGCTAACAGTTAAGATATGTATAAAATTTTTATTACCCTTTAATACTTTACATTACTTTTGCTTTCCTCTTTCTATACTTTGAAGGTTTTTATTTTGGAGGGGGTTTTTCTGCATCTCCCACTGTCCTTCTACCTCAGCTAAATCATGCATGTACGTAATAAACAAGATTTGGTGAGTGGAGAGACACTTTCTAGATGAGAATGAATACTAAGTTTAGCTTTTAAAATTCCCATTGGGTTGAAAATTGGCGCTTTTCAACTGCCACTTCTGAAAAGGAACTTTTATTTACTTTTATATGGAGAGGTTTAATGAAAGTATTAGCAGAAAAAAGTAACTTCATTCTGCACTTTTGAAGAGTTTTTGAAGTTCAGTGGTTAAGGTGGGAACTGGTAGTGGTGTCTGCTGGTGAGTGGCCTAGACCTCTGACCAGACTTGAGTGGAACCCATTTTTCTGTCTACTCAAGAATAAAAATATCCTCTCTTAAATGTGGTTTACTTGGAATATTATGTATACTTTTAAACTTTCATTTAGTAATGGTGTTTATATTCTGAACTGTGGGATTCAGGAAGACTAGTTAGTGTAAGAAGAACTCTGTTACTCTGTGTATGTGTGCATGTGCACGTGTGTGTGTTGAGCAGTTATTTACTTGAGAAATTCTGTGACATTAACATGCTTAACCCCACTAGTGTAGACAACACTCAGAATATGTCATAGTGTGCCATACATCATTCCATATTCTTGTGAAACAGAAGCATTCTGAGATATAATAGATTTCACTGAAAAATACACTGGCTGTTTAAATCTGAGAATGGGAAACAGAAAGTTTAAACTAATCAAAGTAGTGAAGTGTGACTCTCACAGAGGCAAAAATACCACAAAGGTTGGAGGCTGGGATTTCAGCTTGAAGTGTCTTTATCGAAGATACCGTTCTGACACCATTCCCCTTCACTTCCTTCTTCACCTCCCAGGGCTTTTGTGCTTGTGTTTGAGATGAAGTAGAAATGTGAATTTTTATTTTATTCCTGGTTGAAAGACTCCAGCAGAGGAAAAGGGAGAGAGGAAAGAAATGTGCAGTGTTGCATATAGCGATCCTTCCTTGCCTCTGACTGTCACTGAATGCTGCCTATGGCCAGAGGAATTGGAGAGGAAAATAGTAGGTTATTGTTTGCTGCTTAATATAATGCCATTTTGGGCTCTTTCGGCTGTATTTTTTTTTTTTTAATTTTATTGATAGCTTGTGCCTCCAAGTTGGTCACTAGTCTGGAAGTATAGGAAAATAAGTTTACCAAGAACCTGAGCTATGCAACTACTGTATGTCTTTTCATCTATCGCCTATCACACTTGAGATGTAGATTAGGGTAAGCAACTTGAGCAGGTTCCCGTACAGTAAATGAGCTATGGTCTAATCTGATCTCCCTGTAATCCAGTGAGCTCTGAGGGCAGTGATCTGGAGTATGCTTTATGGAGCATGGTTTCTGTGATTCTCTTCTTAACTTGTTTTGCCCCTAGTGGGTACTAAAGGAACAGGTAAAGAAGTCAAGGTCCCTGGTCAGCCTAAGCATGTGGAGTACTGAAGTTTGAATACTGGGGTTTTGCACAGCCTCCTGTTGCCAGTCAAAGCTTTCAGGTGCACAATCCTCACAGTCTTCAGCAGGCTATCCAGTAGTAGTTAGTAATATCTGTCTCTCTCAGAGTCTAGAAGTGGATAGATCACACCATTGGCCTGAGTTAACACAGTTCTACTGAAATCAGCAGAATCCAGATGCCTTAAACCAGTAGAAAACCTTGATCCTTTGCTTCCTGTATAGAATGGTACAGCAGTAGCATATACTGCTCACTGTGGGTCAAATGATTCTCAGCAAATTGCTGAAAAAGTTTAGAAGAGTAGTCAGTCATTACATCTTAGAGCATACTGCAAGGATATCTGCTGCAAACCTTCTGCAGGGAGATCAATAAAGACATATTGTGCAGGTATTTTCTGTTGTTAATATACTGTGATCAAATACCATCATAATTGTTGTTCATTTTGGGATCATAAACCTTTATAGTGAAAGAGAGGGTAAAATACTTTGGTCTGGAAGGTTAGCTGAAGGAAGACAAATTATTGCAACAGATGTGGAAAGGTGAGAGAGGTGAGTAATTACATGATGTGAGCAAGGAATGAAACTTTTACAATTATGTGTTTTGTGGCAAATGAGGTTTTGGTAGGTTGATACACATTACACTAAATGTTATGATTAATAGTGATAATGTTATCTGAATGTTTGTAGTGATCAAAGAGTGGAAGCAATAACTGGATCTAATTGATAAGAACATTTGACTAACCCTTGACAACTACTTTTTGAAATGTAAATTTTTAGACTGTGACTTTAAACAGTAGCAGCTCCTTGATGATTTATTTTAGGGGCTTACAAAAATATGAAAATAGAGTAACATTCTATTACTGACCATATAGGCGTGGTTGAAGGACCTGTGCATGGGGCTACCATCTGTTCCATGTTAGAGAAATGCCCAGTTAGAGAAAATGCCCAGTTCAGCAGAAACATTTCTTTGCATGTTGTAGGCCTGGAAATGCCATTTCAGCCCCATGAAATCTGATACATCAAGACTGAAACGTCACTTCCAGAAATTCTGTGTAGTGGAGCATGTATGTATGGAAATGATGTCCTGGTATACAGAGAGTCCTGGGTTATGAGTATTTTATGAGCCACATATCTCTAATTTGTCTTTTGCTTTTGAAACATAACACATGTTCTGGCTGCACTGATACGGGTTCTTGCTTATTATAGTTAATGGATTATTCATCCTCTTTG